TTATAAGAGTTAACTCAAGAAATTAAAAATAAATAAATAAAAATTACATACTATTTGAATATAACCTATTATACCCCATCTTGAGCCCTGAATTTTCAAATAATAGTGGATGTTATACCTGAAATGTAAGTTAACACACAAATAAATATGCTCTAAAAATACTAAGGAAAATAAAGAGGCAATCAATAATATATGTTATCATCAAAATAATAAACTCAAAAGCTCGAGCTGCAACATAAGCAAGTATCTTGCCTCAAACCTACCTATAGGATTCCACTTTTCTAAGAATCAAATACAGCTCTTTCTCTTAATCTTTGTGTTTTTTGCATTTCCTGTTTCTTGTCTCTTGTTAGGGTTTTAAGCTACAAATCTCTTAGATTCATTGGGTTTAAATATGTAATGGTATCTTGGTGGTAGTTCTAACCTTATTTTTAAGATCTGAAACTAATGTTCTTGGTTGTTATGTATAAGTTCTCATTTTTTGTATTTTCTCTATCTTATGCTAATGAAATATAACCTAAATTTAAAAATAAATTTATCAAGTCAAACATAAAATCAAATCTAAAAATATTGAAGCTTAACATATCATAGTTTTGAGAATTTTTTGAGATTTTTAAAGTTTTGTTTTTCTCATTTGTCCTAAACCTATCTAAATTTTAAAATGATATCATTGAAATTATATAAATATTTTTCACTACTTTAACCATGAATATTCTTAAGAGATAACCTCTATATTGGAATATAATTAATTATAAGGTCTTATATTTATGGGTGTTTCCCTAAAAGAATATAAAACTTAAATTTTTATGACATAATAGGTGGGGGAAGATTTATGGTAATATTAACCTTATTTTTTAAAAATGCAAATTCATAACCATTGTCGTTGTCCCTTTTTTAAAATCAATTTGAACCACAATTGGGTTAATTGAAGTCAATCTGATCATGTAAATTCAATTTGATGATGTCTACTCTGATTTGACTCTATTCAAGCATAATTTGATACCAACGTCATTGTTGATAGCAAAATTTAGTCAATTGATTATTATGTTGAGTCGACTGAAGCCCATATTAATCAAAACTTATTTGATTTTAATCAAATTAATTTAAAAGAGTTGATATACCATCAAAAATTATCTTGATAGAGTACAAATCTCAAGGCAAAATTAAGTTGGAAACTTCCCAAATTAAAATAGAGCCATATGAACTCTGATTTCAGTAAACTTATAGTCAAATTGAATGTCTCAAAAATATGAACCAAATGATACCAAAATCAACTCAATTCGTGCCCAAATGGGTCTGAATCAAGGATCCAAAGCACTGTTGAATGGTTCAAATAATAATTTGGATTACCAAATAGTTTTCAAACATGAAATGCTTATAGTCGAATCGAGTGACTCGGTGAGACAAATCTAACGAGCCTAAGATCATGGAATTTTGACATCATTAAGACCTACAAATGTCTAATGAATGGTCCACGATCAAGGGATTCAATGTCGGCTATTCGACCATACCACTCCCCATTTACCTTTGATCTTCCTCCTATTTGTGGGCCATGCCACTCTAACAAATCTATAAATAGACTCCTACTTCCTCTTGAAAAGGGACCCCGAAGCCTAAGGAGAAAAGAGAGAGATCAAAGATTGCTCTTGCCTCCTTGCCTCCTCGACCACCGCTTGGAGTTCCATCAGACCACCACTTAAGACCCTGAGTTCTGCCGGACCACCACTTGAGGTCGTTAGCTCAGCCATACCACCACTTGAGGCCCTGAGTTCTGCCAGACCACCATCTAACATCAGGCTTCTACCAAACCACCGCCAGATGTTGAAGTTTTGCCAAACCACCGCCAGGCTACCAACTAATACCTGAATTTTCAAGTAGCATCGGACTTCTACCAGTCCAAGTGACACTGTACTATCTTCCATGTTTATCATTTTAACCATATAATTAGTATTTATAATCTGATCACCCTAAAGGATGAATTAGCCCTTTGTAATCTACTTGAATTATAGTGGAATCATTTTTAACTAGGCCAGGCTCCGCAGTTTTCCCCTTTCAAGGGTTTTCCATCTAAAAAACCTTATGTTCTTTGTGTATAAGGTAGATATTCATATAATGCTGAGATGTAGGATTATAACTCTATCACTGTATATACTCTAGCACATAATAGTTTGGTGTTATTTGTGGGAAACTCAATCCCACTATCCTAAGAACCACTTTGATGGCTAACAAGCATAGTAATCTCATCTTGGGAGCCTCTCGCTCCAACTCACACCAATCCAAGAATCAATCTATGACTCATGGACACCAAGTATCCATCTTTTTCCCTAGGGGGAAAAAACGCTACTAGAGAAGGAACTTCAGGACCTTCCCTAGAAGACCGCATTAAAAGGATGGAGGAATCTCATAATGAGATGTTTCAACTCCTCTGAGAGACTAGACAGCCAACACTAGCACCATAAGAAGATATTCTTCTCCCTCAAGATCATCCAAGGATTGAAGATCTTTAACCTGAACACCTTTATGTTGATATTCATCTTCATCCATTAAGGATGCGTCCGCCGACACATCATGACAATGAGCTTGTTGACACAACAAGCTCTACCCATCCTTCACGCGCAGGTCTCCAGCCTTGCATTCCTCCAAACATCCTTGAAGACTCAACCCGATAACATATTGATGAACTCCCTCGTAACTTCCTACATCATAAATTACAAAGATTATTCTAAAAAGAGTTCCCTATGGGAGGTATAAGACAACCCCGTTGTTAGTGAAACTTTTAGGAGTCATAGCCCCTGACAGAAGCCAGCCTTCAACATCCCATTTTAACAGGATTCAGACAACTGTGTTTTGATTCTTATGACAGGACATTCGACCCGTACTAGAATATTAATCACTATAGGACCATCATGCATATCCAATAAGCCTCATATGCGATCCTATGCCAAGTTTTTCTTGCTACCCTCAAGGGATAAGCATAAATATGGTTCTTTTCACTTCCTTCTAGAACAATCCCCACCTTTATCAAATTGGCCAAAATATTCATTGAATAATTTGTTGACAATCAGAGAATTACTAAGGATTCTTTTCACCTTTATGAGATTTTCCAGAATGAAGGAGAATCACTGAAGGAGTATTTTTAATAATTTTCTATAGGAGCTCGACAAATTCCATGAGTAGATCCTGAATGGCTAAGAGAAGTTTTTCTTGGACGCCTTCATCCTGGTCCCTTTTACTTGACACTTATGTAAGACACGATTCCCTCATATGTTGACCTGATCTATTGTGTGGAGGCACACATATCAGCAAATGAAGTTATCAATGCCCACAGGAAGCAATTTAAGCAAACTCTTATAAATTATAAAAATACCCCTATAATAGAAGACTCG